TATGTATTTTATGTACTGCGTGTTGTTTACTTAATTGATTGTATAATATGATTCAAATTTGTCAGTTAGATTGTAAAAAATTCTTAATCTTAGGGCATGGTATTCTTAATCTTAAGCCCTGTTGAGCTGGCAAGTTTGGCAATTGCCAAAACTCCTGTCAAATTTGGCATTAGTTATAGCATTGCTATAATTTAGCAGGGGATATGCCAGACCACTAGAGAGCCGTTTTTGTGCACACTGGTTGTAAAATGGCTTTGGCAGCTCCAATGGCAGACCATTGGAGATAAACTCCATCAATTGTTATTATCTTCCAAGAACCCACGAATGATCATTATTATCTTTGCAAATAGTTCACTATTTAATTCAATTATTTATTTCTATAATAACGTTTTTAGAGCACAAAACCCAGTGGAAGCAACACCATTATTGAGTAGTAGTAGTAAATTAGGCCGAGCACTAGTTCTCAGACCCTCCTTTTCTTGTGTTTCATCAATTTCAAATACGGTACTGAACACTGGTCCTCAGACCCACTTCGTAGCAACAACAAATTCAACAGTAATTGCATTTTCTCTGTTGCATTCGGTCAGGTGAGGCTGTAGTATGAATTTGTGTTCCGATTATTTGATTCACTTAAAAAGATGGGTTTCACTCACTTGGGAGAGAAATTAATTGGGTTCAGTCCAAAATCTAAAATCAGTGAAGCAATTAGTAGTATGATCAATATTGTTGTTGCTGTTGTTTCTTAAGATGATGATTATAATATGATATGCACATTTGGTTTGGAATATGATTCACTTAAAATGATAGTTTCACTCAACTGGAAGAGAAATTAATTGGGTTTAGTCAAAATTGTAAAGTTAGTGAAGATATTATTGGTATGATCAATGTCGTTGTTGTTGTTTTTTTAAAATGATAATAACAATATGCACATTTGGCTTGGAATATATATATATATATATATATTTTAATGCTTATGATGTTTGATTTTGTTATTGTTGTTTTATGATGATGTGTAGAGTTTTGGTGTAGCTTCTAAATGCATGAATTGTCTATAAACTGTTGATTACACTATCTATGTGCATTTCTGTTCCAATGTAAGAATTGGGGGATTGTTAAAAGGAATGGGTTTGACTCTATTGGTAGTTTTGTGAAAGAGGGGTGTAATTTGTTGTCAGTGTCTATTTCTGATATTTGGGTTTTGACTCTGCTTAACAAAATTGACTTGTGCTTTCTAAAACTTTATATGTAATTCTTTAGTTTTCTTTGATCACTGGGGCAGATTCCTGATAAAGTTATTCGGGCTGAAGAAAGAAGAGGATTAATAAAAGGTTGATAGTGTCTAAGATGGCTGAGTTTGAAGAGATGGCCGTGACTTCTGATGTGAAATCGGGAAATATGGTTTTTGAGCCTGTTCTAGAGGAAGGGGTATTCAGATTTGATTGCATTGCGGATCATAGGAATACAACATTTCCCAGTCTTTCTTTTCTGAATCCCAAAGACAGGGACACACCAATTATGACTAGCCACAATGTCTCTTCATATATCCCTACTTTTGAATGTGTTCTTGGAGAACAAATTGTTCAAATTGAGGTCAGTTACATAACGTCATTTATTATCTTCCTCACCATAAGTATTTACTTTATTCTGTGTAGATATATATGGCTATGCATTTATAAATTTTGCAGCACATTTCACTGATGTAATTGGATTTTTGTTTTGATTTAGCTTCCAATCGGTACCTCATTCTATGGAACCGGAGAAGTTAGTGGACAACTTGAACGGACGGGGAAGAGAGTAAGTTGAATTGGTTAGTGATCACTGAAAACTTTGTTCTTGTTCTTCATGTATTGAGCAATTATGTTATATAAACAGGTTTTTACATGGAACATGGTTGCCGGGGCTTATGGGCCTGGTACTACGTCCTTGTACCAATTGCATCCAGGGGTGCTAGCTGTTCTCCCAAGCGGAGAGGCACTAGGGGTTCTTGCTGATACAACGCGACGATGTGAGGTACTTGTGATTTTTTATTTATGTCATTTTGTCATGTATATGACTATCAAATGGATAGCTGCGTTAATGGTCAATTTTATTTGTTTTTATGCAGATTAATTTGCAGAAAGAATCAATAATAAAGTTTGTTGCTCCATCATCATATCCTGTCATTACATTTGGTCCATTTGCTTCACCAACCGATGTTTTGATATCTTTATCTCATGCAGTTGGTAATCTTCTAAAGAACTTTGTAATTTGTTCATTAAATCTACTATATAACGTCTTTGAATGCTTTTAGTCAGCTCTCCTCTAATTTTCTGTCTTAGTTCTTGGAGACAAAGAAAGAGAGAGGATGCCTAAATTATGTAATTTTGATTCTTTTCAATTTTTTTTTATCATTTTCGGCCGCTGATACATTTGTGCTTTAAATAGCTGCTTCATTTTCACCAGAGATTGTGGTGTGTGTATTTACCAGTTCAAGAAAATGCAAACATTTGGATTTTGGATGATATGGCAGATATTTTTTTCTTTGCTAGTGTTCTGCCATTGTTGTCGTTTCCCACTTCTGGATAGTAACTTACTACCAGTATAACTGGTAATTTTCTCACCAGGTACTGTATTTATTCCGCCAAAGTGGTCACTGGTATCATCAATGTCGTTGGAGCTATGACTCTGATGCACGAGTTCGTGAGGTTGTTACTTTTGCATTTAAAGAGCTAAATAAATTCTCTATTTCTCTCTCTCTCTCTCTATATATATATATAAATGTTTGTTTGTGCATTACTATTCTTTTCCACTGTTTTTTTTGTTTTTGGTATCTTATGACCAAGTTCACAATCAAGGTGGTATTTGACATAGGATATATGTTTGGTTTCTTGTTTTTTTGATGAGTAAAAGCTGATCCTCACATTTATAATTGTGGAAGTCATTTTATTTTTACCTTCCAAAGAAAACAGAAGAAAGCTGTGAATTTTCTATGATTGCCTCTACTTTCTAGATATTTTGATCCTTGTATTTTCACTTATCCATTTACATATGCAGATTGCCAGAACATTTCGGGAGAAAGGTATACATTGTGATGTCATATGGATGGATATTGACTACATGAATGGGTTTCGTTGTTTCACTTTTGACCAGGCATGTCCTCATTAGACGATCTTAGTATATATATCCCTGGTACCATAAATGATTAGAAAATGGTTGGCTATTCCCTAGACCCTCCTACCATTATTGACATGGAAAATGAACTATTGTGATTTCTATCAGGAATGCTTTCCAGATCCAAAATCTTTAGTGAAAGATCTACATCTCACTGGATTCAAAGCAATCTGGATGCTTGACCCAGGGATCAAACATGAAGAAGGATACTTTGTTTACGATAGTGGTTCTGAATTGATGTCTGGATTCAAACAGCTGATGGAAAGCCTTTTGTTGGTAGATCACTTTATGCCTTTACATTCATGCTTGACCCAGGGATCAAACATGAAGAAGGATACTCATTTTCAAGTTTTAACTCTATTTTTTAGGGGAGGTTTGGCCTGGGCCTTGTGTTTTCCCTGACTTTACATTGTCTAAAACTCGTTCATGGTGGGCTAGTTTAGTGAAAGATTTCATTTCTAATGGTGTTGATGGTATTTGGAATGATATGAATGAACCAGCTGTTTTTAAGGTGATGCTCAGAACTCTTTCTCCCTTGCTTGCATATGTTTTAATTTGTTCATGGTCTTAGCATGTTTCTTCACACGCTGTAACAAAGACGATGCCTGAGACCAACGTGCATCGTGGAGATATTGAACTTGGAGGTTGTCAAAATCACTCGCATTATCACAATGTATTATCCGTAGCTCTATTCTTATGCTTTACATTTTACATTTTTATAAAGATCTTCACCCCCATATTGTGGTTGCCACTATGATAAGCTTTAGAACTTATATTTATTTATATTTGATGTCTTTTGTAGGTTTATGGGATGCTGATGGCACGATCAACTTATGAAGGCATGAAATTGAGCAATGAAAATAACCGTCCTTTTGTTCTTACCAGAGTTGGGTTTATAGGTAGCCAGAGGTATGCTGCAACATGGACAGGAGACAACCTTTGTACTTGGGAGCACCTTCATATGAGTATCTCAATGGTCCTTCAACTCGTAAGTGGACAGGAGATTTTGTGAAGCTTGACCAGAAATTTTGATTTTTGTGTTTTTGAGCTTGTTTTAAGTTTGAACTTTAAAAGTGTTGTCAATAGTTGACCTTCTCCCTGGACCTACCTATAGCTTTTTCTTTCGAAGACTTGGAACTACAAATTAGTTAAATAAACCCACCATGCTAGGCGATGCTTTAGAAAATCTATCAACAACAACAAAAACGTACTCCATACCTCTTTCTAAGGAAGACGGCATGCTCAATGCTTCTTCCACTCTATTATGAACTCCACAGTTGTGTACTAAAGTGAAATTAAACACCTGCAGGAATGAGACCTACATTTATCTAATTGTGTCTAGTACTTGTGTTTTGAAGGTTAATAAAATCTCTTATTGTTAATCTTCCTTTGCTTATCACTTGATTCTTTTGGTCTTCCATTAGTGTCTTTATTTTTCTTTAATTCAAGGAAGTTTTAAAACAAGACATTGAACCCCACAAACGATCGTCTGGTCTTGTGATTATTTTGTCAAGAGATTTCTTTGTTGAGAAAGAATAATGCTCCATATACCCAGATTGCTTAAAGTTGTATGGGAGAGAATTAGGTTTCTATTTTAAGTTAAATATGCTATCATGTCGAGCTTTTTGAATATGAGACATTGCGCCAATGAAAATTAATTTTTCATTCAGGGGCTCAGTGGTCAACCGCTTTCAGGACCAGATATTGGTGGGTTTGAAAGGAATTCAACACCTCAGCTGTTTGGAAGGTGGATGGGTTTGGATGCAATGTTTCCTTTTTGTCGTGGACATTCAGACACTGGCACTATTAACCACGAGCCTTGGTCTTTTGGGGAAGAGGTTTGTCCGTACTTCACAGTGACAATTAACAATTTTATTGCTTTTGAACTTTGTGATTTGGGTTCAAATGTTTATTCAACTGATGTTTGTAATCAGTTCTACAGAAACACTAATAGTGATTGGGGATAACATAAGCTTTGGTAGGAGGCTAGGACCTTCACTTGAATGAACTAAGATGCTAAAATATGCATGTTTATGGTTAAAGAGTTCATAGTGCTTCCTTGTCTTTCTATATAGGAGTTATAAAGTATTTCAAAGAAATTGTTCACTTTCTGGTATTACCTGAATTTACTACGAATAGCTTGGCGCATTTGAAATTGTCAAGGAAGGGTCTCTAGTATCCTTCTGGAGCCATTTGAAAGGGTCTTTCACAAAATGACCAAAATATCCCTTGGATAGGCTGGGAAGAGTAGGTGATTTTGAAAGTTAGGACATGTGGTATTCTTTTAAGAGATTTAAAAGAAGTACAAATAAAAATATGTGCATGGAATGTATACATGAAAACAAAAACAAAAGGTGAACTATACAAAATTTTCATTTTCCTAGAAGGTTCTCCTAGGAAAACTTCTAATGGATAATTGCCATGCCTCTCACCACATTCACTCCGGGAAATTTTTTTCGTTTTTCTAGAAGGTTCTCCTAGGTTAATTTGGTTTTCGTGAGGGAAATTCTATGGTTCGACCACCCCTACTTGACGGATCCAATTATTCTTTTTGGAAAGCTCGGATGAGATCGTTTTTGAAATCTATAGATGAAAAAGCTTGGTAATCTGTCATGAATGGGTGGACCGAACCAACAATTACCGTTGATGGAGTAACTTTCCCCAAACCAATTGAAAAGTGGGACACAATTGATTACCAAAATAGTAGCTGGAATAGTAAAGCTATCAATTCTCTCTTTTGCGCTGTCACACCTGAAGAGTTTAGTCGTATTTGTAATTGTGAAGTCGCAAAAGAGGCTTGGGATATCTTACAAACTATTCATGAGGGCACTCCTTCTATTAAACGCTCAAAACTTCAAAGGCTCACATCTAGTTTCGAAAACCTTTCAATGAAAGATAGTGAGACCTTTGATGAATTTTATGCGAAGTTGAGTGACATTGTAAATTCCAGCTTCAATTTAGGTGAAAAAAATACCAGAATCCAAAGTTGTGGGAAAGTTTTGAGATCCTTGCCTGATTGGTTCCAACCAAAAGTTACGGCTATTGAGGAGGCTCAAGATGTTGACAACCTCAAGCTGGATCAGTTGGTTGGAAATCTCCAAACTTATGAGGCACATAAGAATTTCAAAAGAAACAAAAAGATATTGCTTTTAGTAATGCTCATAGAGTCGGAGAGGATTCTGATGAGGATTGTGAGATAGATTCCAAGATTACGGCTGCTTTTGTTAAACAATTTAAAAAATCTTTTCTGAAAAGGAATCCTAAACTTTTGGAATCTACTTATACTCATAAATCTAAAGGCAAAGATAAACTCAAAATTAATTCTATAGCCAAGAAGGAGAAAGGAAAGATACAAGGGAACTCTGAAAGAGTCCAATGCTATGAATGCCAAGGATTTGGCCACTTTGCATCAGAATGCCCCACTCGTTTGAAGAAGAAGAAAGCCCTTGCCATCACTTGGGATGATGAATCAGAATCTGATGAAGATGAAAGTGACAACGAAGATCAAGGCGAAGAGGGACATAAACAATTCTTTGCTTTCATGGTGGCTTCCGAAACTGAAGGATGAACAGAATATCCGAAGAGATCGGTTGAGACTGCCACTGATGATGAATCCTCGGAGAGTGATGTTGAAGAGCTTGAGCAAGCTTATGAAAAGTTGTATAAGGAGTCTCTTAACTTATCCAAATTAAATGACAAACTCACTACGAAACTCAAAGCATGTGAGAGTGAGAATGCCAAATTAAAGAAAGAGATTTCTGAGGCTAGGATTGATGCCATCAAGATAGCTAATGATCGACAAGCTCTTTGTGCAAAATTCTTGACTTGTGAGACAGAGAGGAATGAGCCACAGCAAATCTATGCAACATATGAAGAACCGTCTCGACATGGTTTCCACTTCTTTTTTCTAGGTCTAGGCAAATACACTCTCCCATGCAACTTATAACAATAAGGGGAATATGACTATGCATACCATAATGATGACAAATAAAAACAGGGTGTACCTTCTTCTTTTACCTTACAACTCTAGGAAGTTTGAGAAGTCATCCTTATGTTGAAATTTTTGTTCTCCCTTTCCTTGAGTTCTTGTATCATGGATGGTAGATGCACTCTGTTTTTGCTCTTTGTTATCACCAAAGCAATGCCACTCTTGTCAGAACAAATTTGTTGAGCCCAATGATATTGTCCAAAGTCTTTTGATCCTTTGTTCCAAAGACCAATGGTAGCCATAGCACACTTGAGTCTTCCTCTTTCTTGATCATTAGTTATTTTCCAAAAGCACTTGAGACATCTCGGGAGTTTCAATTTTTTCTTCATAT